TTGGCATATTTTTCTGCGATTTTTTTAGATTTTATACTTTTATGTCAAGAGGGCATTCTGAATTGACAAAATTTGTCAAAATCGGTGCAGCCATTCCTGAGATATTAGCATTCTAACTAACATCCCCTTCCTTTGTATATACACATTGTATATATTTCGCTATATATAACCGATATATTTACTATCGGCATCTACGCAACGGTCAGAATTGACCTGTTCGTCTATGTGTGATTTCGCTGGGATTAAAAATTTTCGCTGTCTAATAGAAAATTTGAATTTTATTTAACACAAATGTTGTGGCCCATTTCACCCACTAAATATTACCCGATGACCATCAAAATTGGAAGGCTTCTGCCCAGCCCCAAGCTCTAGCCCCATGCTAACTTTTGCTTTGATTGGTCTATAATTGCGACCTGTAGAGCAACTGCAAAATCAGGATTTTTTTCAGTTTTTGGTCCATTTTACCCCCTAAATATTATGCGATCATCTCCAAAAGAAATAGGGTTCTGACCTAAGCCCCACCTCCATTCTAAATTTCGTGAAGATCGGGCCATAATTGCGACCTGTAGAGTGATTACAAATTAACATGGACAGACGGACGGACGGACATACATAGCTAGATCGACTCAGAGATAGGAAGATCCATATATACTTTCCTATGTGGGAAACGAATATTTCGTGGTGTTACATAATTTTTGGCCCAATCAAACTTATTATACCCCCAACACATAGTATTGTAGGGTATAAAAACAAATGTACACTCAATTTAGTATGTCACATTAAAAAAAAAAAATACGCAAAAAATATATTTTTCTTTCAAATTTTTATTGGCATGTTTTCACGCGATTTTTTTGCTAAGATACCATTCCAAAATCGTATGAATTGTCAAAATCCGCCAATCCGTTTTTGAGTTATAAGCGTAGTAACTAACATAACATACTTTTATCTGGTATTGTGAATTATTTATTCTTTATTTTGTACCCTCTTCTGAAATGACATTATTCGTGTAGTTCTTACCCAATAAATGCATGAAATCTATAAATAACAGTTTTGTCCTTGTCGCTTTGTACTACCCTAAAAAAAAACAAGTAAGAAAAGGCTATAGTCGTGCGGCGACAACCATGTGATACCCGACAACACTACAATATGTTAAAAGCCCCCTTATTTCGCTTTTGAAATTATGTCATAGAGCATTGTCCAGATATTACCCTTAGCTATTTGACCAGAGGCATTTGCCCAATATATTTTGGGCATTTGCCCAATATTTACAAAGCGGGAGGCCTTTCTGTATCTCCGAATTTGATTTGTTTATCTACGATATTTGGCAATATTCGTCAACGAAAACAGCTTAACAATGCCAGAAGTTCGCCTTTTGTGTGTTTAAGATTTCGCCTGTAGGTTTTTTCAGCGTTTCGGTAGAATGGTATTTTGGTATTTTTTCACATAAAAGTAGTGGTCCATTCTACCCGCTGTCCTAAACTTTAACTTCATGCGAGATTTCGTGTCTTTTGGTTTCTATTTGTGAGTTTTATAACGGCTGTAAAATCAGGAACATTTATTGTTGTTGGTCCATTTTAACCCCTAAAAATATTGTGGACATCTTTAAAAACAATAGACCTAGCCCTTCTGAGCCGAACCATACCTTTATGAACAATTTCGTGAAGATCGGATCATAATTGCAATATGTATATAATAACCTCAACCTGTGTTGTAAGGTGAAGAGATATTACAAAATATACACTTCAATATTATAAGTCAAATTGAAAAAATCGCATGCGATAAAAATATGAAAAAAATAAAAACATGTCACAAAATTTATATTAACATCATTATTGGCATATTTTTATGCAACTTTTTAAGATAATTTTCTTTTATGCAAAAAGGGCATTCTGAATTAAAAATTAAATTTGTCAAAATCGGTCCAGCTTTTCTTAAGATATAAGCATTCTAGCTAACATCCCCTGGTGTTGCATAATTTTTGGCTTAATCAAATTTATACCCCCAACCCACAGTGTTTTAGGGTATAAAAATACGATATTTGTTCCATTTTAGAATTACATTGTAAAAATTGCGTTTTTGCTCTTAAATAGCTTTAGGAAATACTTTTTTATGTGAACGATTTTTGTTCTGGATGATCTTCAAAATAAATTGCTTAAATTCATTTTATATTTTCGCTTGTTATTATTTAATTTTCTCATTCTCCAAACCACTGTGCCACAAAAATGCTTAATAAAATATTAACTTTATAATGCGATTAAACGATTACCACACACCGAAAACTTTTTTAATTTGGATAATTTTAATGAAATACAAATTTTCGCTTAAATGCGATTATGGCAACGACCTACATTAACAAGTCTCTGATGCGCCGGTATCTGTCTCGTTATCGCTCTCTCTCTCCCTCTCTTTTGTACTCGCCCAAGGATATTTAACCGCATAATGATAAATGGAGCACACCGTCATCATCATCATCAGCAACACACATATATTGAATCACACGCACAAAGGAGGAGAAAAAAAGCGCGCAAATAAACAAACAACAACAACAACAGCAATGACGTTGAACAATGCCTGGCAAGAGGAATACCAAAAATTGAATTTCATTCATACGCAACGGAGGACAAGATTTCAAACACGACAAAAAAATAACAATAACAATGGTGTGTATAGTGTGTATACACAACAATACAAAACACGTTGTTGATACCACCACCACCACAAACACACACACATCTATACAACCACACACAGCTGATGTGTTTATACCCTTTTTCCCAACGTGAATGCACAAAGTTTGGCATGTAAACAAAACACATTGCCAGATGGAAGAGAGAGAAAGAGTGTGTGGAAAGCAAAGAGAACCAGAGAATGTTGCTGAGATAATAAAGAGAAGTTGTTGCTCAAAGAGAGTTGTGAATGCAGCAGATAAATTTGGATGGTAGGATTCTTCATGTAAACATTGCGCTAGGCCAAAACATTTGTTTAGATGATTGTTAATCTCCGTCATGATGGAGAGGGGAGATGGAAGGATGGTGCTGTGCTTGGCCGAGCCATGTGTAACGAAGATGTTGTTGTTGTTTTAACTCTGCCTGATGTTGCTTGCTGGCGCTGGATGGCTGGCTGCCTGCCTGCATGTGTTGAGCCAAGTCAACAATTTTTAGAATTCAGTCTTAGCCGGCATTTCAAAACGTTTGGACGTGTTTAAAAGAGTTAGCGGAACATTTTAGTTCACAGCCACTTTAGTGTTTTTGGGCAACAACAAGGAAATATAGCCAGAGTGTGTGTGAGTCTCTTCTGTCCATGGCAAAGGACTCTTAGGACTTGTTTGAATTGAAAGATTAATGGTTGTGATGCTGTAGGCCAACATTATCAGTTTGTCTATGGGATAGTGGGCAATAGAATTTATGTGAGTGAGTGTGTGTACGTGCGTGTGTGTGTGTGTGTGAAAGGCCATTAGATATGTGGCAGAGACAGCAACAAAAGCAGCAACATTTTTAGGCTTCAACAGCATCCATGTGTGTGTGTGTGGTGGGAGTTGACAAGGCCATATCGTATAGTAAATACTAAAGGATGTGCCATAAAGGGAGATGTCCATGTACATGTGTGTAAGTGTGTATGTGTGCGGGTCCCATACAATGATAGTGTGTAATTTTTAGTGATATGTGCTAACCAAAAATAGAGGCCCAAAAACTTCCAACACACACACGCACACTCGGAGACAGGCTTACGCATTTCTCTGCGTATGAGTGTATGTGTGTACGCACATTATAAATAATTGAATATCTGTGTATGGGAAATTTTGGTTTTCCATGGCAGGACAATGTGAATGCATGCGAGTGTGTGTGTGCGTACATATGTTTGGACTTAGATCGATTATTATGTGTGTGCGTGCGTGCGTGTGTGCATAACATATGCAAGGGGTTAATGTGCCCAAATGTATGCTACAAAATTTCATTTGTTATTTGAACTTTGAACAGCCAACATCTCGGTTACGGATATTTGAAAATAGAGAAAAATAATAAAAGGCGGGCGAAAAACAAAAACCAGATAATTTGAGATAAGGAAAAGCAAAAAAAAAAAAAAAAAAGGATTACGAAGGGATAAACAGTGGATCTTTGGTCTATGCGAGAGTGTGTGTGTGCTCCGGGTACGGTACATTAATAAAATCGCCTCTTCTTCATTAGTATGCCAAAATGTTGTGTGGCCACGGGACCCTTATTTCGTTTCATTGACTAAATCCTAAAAATAGGCAATAAAATAACAAAGGGAAAAAGATTCTTATTCTGGATTTTCCGCCAATGAAAACAGAAAAAGGTTTAGCATTCCAGAAAATAAATGAAAATTGAAATTTGCCCCGTTTTTTTGTGGGAAAGAGCAGCAAACAGAAATAGGCAAGTCATAAAAAATTTACATTTCTAATGGAGCGTGGAGCAGTAGCAGCAGCCGAGTGTGAAATGTAAATATTAAGCCAAGGGGAATTTTATAAAATAAAAAAAATAAACAAAATAAAAAGAATGAAGTGAATGCCAATAATGACCAATAAAGTGGCGAATTTTCGCCTGAACCCTTTAAAAGCAATGAAGTAAAAATGGAATTCTAAAGAAATTCAAACCAAAAAGTGTGAAGATATTTTGTTGGAGGAAAAAATAACCGAATAAATCAACGGTATAACCAATCAAGCGTTAAGACAAATAAATATTTGGAAAAGAAAACAAAACACGCAAGGAAAGAAAAATAAAATACAAATCTTACCCAAAAAAGCTTACCTAAAAAAAATCTAAATCAAATTCAAACCAAAAGAAAATTATAAAAACTAAAATCTTAAAAAATAACCTAAAAAAAAGAAACAAAAATAACATCCAAATTTTCCCCTCATCAATCATTTCAACAAAATTGGCGAAAAAATCCCATTTTCCATGAAAGTGTAATCAAATAAATTAATTTTTTTTTTCGATTAACTAAAATGCCATAAAATCATCAAATAAAACAAAAAGAAAAAAAAACGAATCGAATTCAATCAATGAATTGAATAAACGTGTGAATTAAATTGCAGATGAATGAAATCAACTACAACAACCCCAACAAAGAAAGAACCTTAATAGACTTTTAAGTGCTAACCAAAAAAAAAAATAAATTTATTGAGTGCAAAATAACTACGACACAAAAGTAACTAAAAGTAAATAAAAAAATTCTTCGCTAAAAACGTAAGCTGTGGCAACAAAATATGTAAAAGGAAATTGAATTTTTTCCATTTTCTCATGCATACATGGGTGTCGCTGTTTGTCTACCGCTGAAATTGTCACACTTGTACAACATTACTATGCCGTTTCCTCTATTTGTGTTTGCCTGCAATTCGGGCACAAGGATTCAACGACAATGAACATAAAGTAAGTCTAAAAGCGATTATCTTGTGAAGCGTATGAGGAAAAAAATTACATTTTTTTCAGTGCAGTTTTCTTTCCTTTTCTTTGGAAAAATATGGGACTTTGAACATTTGTTAAATGTTTTCTATTGCGGTTGGGATAGAAGCATATGAGATTTATTTTGAGAAAATGGGGAAATTTTGGGATGAGATTAGTCAATATTTTTCTGAACAAAGTAGGTAAAAAATTAACCTTAAGAAGAAGCCCTGAAGGAATTTCTAAAAAATTCAAAATTTTCGGGCAGGAAATATGGATAATATTCCTTATAAACCTAAAATGTTTAGCCAGAAATTTTGAAAAAATATTAACAAAAATCCATAATTTATCTTACTTGAAAAAAATATATATTATAAGGACATTCTTAAAATTCCACGATTTTTGTCCAAGAAGACCCCACAAAGAATTTTTTAAAAATTAACAACATATGTATTAAATCTAAAGACATGGTCAAAAAATTCTTAACAAAAAAAAAAAAAAAAAAAAAAAAAATCCTTAAGATTTTTTAACTATAATTTTTGGGCAGGGAGCATTAAATATATTTGTATAAATTCTAAATTTGTTGGGTAGGAAATCAAGAAGATACTCCCAATCGGTTATTTTAGCCAGTAATACTTAAACAATATCCAAGATTTGTTCTAGTAATGTAGTAATGTTCTAATAAGTAATTAAATGTGGTCATGTAAAAATTACCCCTTTTTATACCTCCACCATAGTATGGAGGGTCATTCCGTTTGTAACACGTCGAAGTATACATTTTAAACCCCAAAAAGTATATATTTTTGATCAGCATAAAATTCTATGTCGATTTAGCGATGCCCGTACCTCAGTCTGTCCGTCTGTGTAAATCACTCTAGCTTCCGAAAGATAAGAAGTAGGTTGATTAAATTTTATTCAAATGTATATTATGTCTGCAGGACTTTTGGGCCCAATATATAGGGCTATATTCGGTATTGTAACATAATTTTTAGCGGATATTATTTTTCGGAAAATTTTCAAATTCTTTCCTAATGGTGGAGGGTATTCAAAGTTGGCCCGGCCGAACTAACTGCTTTTTCACTTGTTTCTTACTAGAAAAATCATTAAAAAAATATTTTTGAAATTTGAAAGATTCTTTTTTTAATTCGTAACATATATATCCAAAAAATACTTACAAAACCGAAGACATAGCAAAAAATATTTTCAAAATACACCATTAAAATATCCTGGAATTACAGAATTTATACAAAATCAAGATTTTTTGCCAGGAATATACCTTGTGATAAAAACTTTTTCTTCTTTCCTTTAATGTCAGATATAGGCTATTTCAAAATTTTATCGCTCGGGAGAAGGTACCGTAGAAGTAAACCTATATATCTCATTTTCGCACTAGACCTACATTTAATGAAAACACGTTGAATAGTAACAGTCGGTTTTGCCGATAGATGCCAATATTCGATTATTTAAAATGTATTTTGACTTCTATTATGATTATTCGAATGTTGACCCTCTATGGAATGGGCCAATATTGTCCATTTTGTATCGGACCTAAAAAGATATATAAATTTTGTGATGAGCCAGGTTTGGACCATCACTTCGTATGAAATATGTGATAATTTTTAGAAAATGTGTAAATGTGCGTGAGGTAGCAGATAAAGTCAACCGAAGTACCTCACCCACAAATGGTCAAAGTTTTGAATAACCAAAACTATCATAAATTCCGAAAAAAGCATTCGGATCTCTTCAAGTTATATACATAACTATATTTTTATTAAACCAAGGTCTGGTGTGAAAACGGAATATATCGGTCTACTCCTTTTGGTACCTCCCCCACAAAAGGTCAAAATTTTGAATATACATGAAGCTCGAAAAACGAAAAATTAACATCCGATTCCATTCAGGCTTGGTAAATCTTAATAATTCAAATAAACACAAGATCTGTTATAAAGTTGGTGCCGATCGGACCGTTTCTTCTGGTACCTCCCCCACATAGGGTCAAAGTTTGGAATAACTAAAACGATCATAAAATGCGAAGTAAGAATCCGATTCTCTTCATATTTCACACAGCCCATTACTAACATTACTACATCTACTAACATTCGATCTGTTGTGAATATAAAATACATCTGCCAACCCCTTCTGGTACCTCACAAATAAGTGGTCACAATTTCCAATAATTATATCTGTTTTAATTTGCGATTTATCGAAATGTATGATTTCGCATAAAATTGGATATAAATGTTGGATTTCCTTCAAATTTTGCACATTCCAATATTTTTAACTGTATTAGATGAGGTATGAAAATGGAATACTTTGGTCCGCTATATCTATTACCTCACGCATATTTCCACATTTTCCAAAAATTTCCACATATCTCACAAATAGTAAAATAATGGGCACAACTTTTTTATTTCTCTTAGAAATAAGTTCTGATTTGAAAATTATAGTTTGGCGATAATTTTTATACCCCCAGTCTATAGAGAGTATATATCATTTCATAAGTCTAAAATGAAATAAATAATTTGTTCTTAATTTACACAAAGTATATAGTTTATCAGCAACGTGCATATACCATTTATATGTAGATTTGTGGCAATCTAATTCATATTTCAATACACCATTTTTTAAGCGTTTCAGTGATTTAATAAACTTCATATTACTCAAACGCAAAGTTTTCATTTAAACGAGTGGAGTCCACGGAACTAGACAAAACTAGACTCATTCGTTTGTTCGAAATAGATTGGCACAACTCTATTTATATACATACATATACTAGCTGGCCCGGTCTGTGTTGCCGGCCCGTACTTTTAGTCTTTAATGCATGTTTTTTAAAGCATGATAAATTATAAATCTGACTTATGTAAGCTGCACAATTTTAATTATAAGTAATTTCTGAATAGAAATAAATATTCATGACAAAAACCATAATAGATGTTCATCTACCGTCGGTTTTAGATATTTTGAACAGCCTGATCTAATTTTTCAGCCATAGGCTTTAATTTGAGTGTTAAAAACCTATATGATATAGAAAATCTAGAATAGCCCCATGTGAAAACTAAGCTCAATTTTTGATATTGTAAAGAACTAAGCAACATTTTCTATTGAAATTAGCTGTAATTTGGAATTTGTATTTTCAACGTTTAGAATACCACGCCGCTTGGTATTAGTTTCGTCCACCTCAGAATTGAGGGCAGAATGGTTTCAGAATAGTCAGAGATAATTACTCTTTTACACTCATGACCGTAAGAATGGAATTAATTTTTTGTCATTTTATTTGTGCGTTGGAGACCCCATAAAGTCCACATTTTTCATCATAGTATAATTCAATGACGATTAAGAAAACGTTCGGTCCCGTGCTACTTTCAAATATTCGTAACTTTTTTATATTTCTGCCACAATTGCCGACTGAATGAATCCCAGTTTGACATTTCGGTGTTTATTTCATATAGACGTCCATCCAAAATCTACAAAACCCAACCAATATTCTCTTGACGGTTACAAATTCATTAGAATACAAAATATTCTTTTCTGCCCACACATTGGTTGGGAAAGTGGACTTGGGGGTACACCAATGTGGGGACTATACTTAGATAAATGCCTATACTTAAATAAATGCCCATGTGGACAATTATCGGTTAGATGGTTCTCTACCCCAGAATAGCCTAAATATAATTTTTTTGCCAAGTCAATTCATAAACCAAGACCAAGATGGGCCCTACCCCGAAAATTGAAAATTTTATTAGAAGATGTTTCCCCTAGAAATAGAGATGCCAAATAAAAAAGACTTTTTTTAAGACCTTGTTTGTTTCTTCTCAAATTATTAACATTTCCCGAAATTAGTATGAGGAATATGGTTAAAATGTAAAAAATACTTGAAATTGGTGTTATGACCCATTTCATCCCGCAAAAGCGATATAAGGTATCTTGAATGTTTAGGAAGAATGTATGGAAGGATCCTATTCATACTAACTGTACAATCAGCTCTACTATTTTGTATCCTTTATATTCCGTATTTCACTGATTGCAGTCGCAATGAATATTGAATTTGAGTTCTCATCGATGGGATTATAGTCAGATAAAACAAGTAGGTCCATGTTTTAAAAGGAGCTCCATAACGCCTTGTCGGTAATTTTTGTTTGTTGAAATGTGTTCGCACCTTCCAGCTGAAGCACGATGTTGGTCCTGGAATTGAAAGCTAGATGCCAAATTTAGACTTGAAAGATCGCCATTTAATATCGTATTGTGCACTCATTTCATTTTTGATATTATTCATTCAGAATTTAAAACATTAAAATATGTACTCTTCAATATAGTATGTCAAGAAGAAAAAATGTTCCGCCAAAAATATTTTTTTCATTCACATTTTTATTGGCATATTCCAAAATTGTATGAATTGTAAAAATTCTTCAAGCCGCTCTTGAGTTATAAGCGTAGTAACTAACACAACTTTCTTTTATATGTATAGATTGTTGTGTGAATATTTATTTGACATGCAGTCTCAAAAAAAGCAATTTGTCTAAAACATCTATAATTTCTTCCATTATTATATCAATTAATCTTACATAATATATTCAATGAAAACGAATCAGCATATTCCAAAAATTCAACTTCATTTATCACATTTGACAGTAGGTGCAATGCAGTCGTTTTTCCTCTCTCCAACATCAATCATACGCACCCAAACACCAACCACACACATACATACATACACTGGTGGCCAAAACTAAAGCAACTTAAATCGCAAAGACAATAAATGTCCTGTAACTTTTACAAAAATAAACAAATCGTAATTATTTTTCCAGTTTTAAATGAGGGGTTTAATTCACTTTTAAGAAACTAAAATGACCCAATTTTTGCTTGGTCAAAACTAAAGCAATTTTTTAATTTTTATTTTAAAATAATTAAATTTTGGCTAGTAGTCGATAGCATAACCATTATTTTTGATAGCAGCTGCACACCTATGAGACATTGAATCTATAAAACGCTCA